CGAATAAAATACCCCTTTGAGCGTGTTTAATTTCCCGGAACGTACAGTATATTGCGCGGTTCTGTGTAATATGTATTTTTATTGTCTCGTTTGTCTCTTTATCTGGTGGTATCTCACTCCGATTGTGAGGCAAAAAGGCCTTTTCAACTATAAATTACAATTAAGTAATTTTCCTTTAATTACACCGTGTTAATTTAATTTCCAATCTTCTTACCATTGTGATTTCCAAAGGTCACTAAAAAGGCAACAATAACAAGTTAAGTATTTATAAATGTAGTACAAAACTTTTTAACTAATATGCAGATATAGACGTAATGTTCGGGGTATGTAATATACTTTGATAGCTATTGTATCTCCCGTTCTGTACTTGAAGGATATCGGCGAGGCCTAGCTCAGCAATAAATTTGATTAGTAGACTCGTTTTCAATCATTTAATTTCTTCTACGGTTACGTTGTACAGCCCAATACACTTCCTCCTGGTGGAAAATATGGTGCCACAGTTTGTTGATAGGCATGATGGTGTCTCCTCTATTTTTTTTTTGCAGAATCTCCACGTGGCGAGTTGGGTTATACAAATCTTCTTCAGATGCCCATTCAGTCTGCGCTGTCCTGTTAAAGATGTCAAGATTTGAATTTTTTATGAGATGTTTCTTTTTTTCCACGATTTCTAGAAGGCTCTTGGATTGTTTATGTCCAATGAGTAAATCTACTATTTCTTTTTTTTATGCGATGTTGTTTCTTTCCTTCCACAATTTCTAGAAGGTTCTTGGATTGTTTATGTCCAATGAGTAAATTCCTCTATTTCTGTTTTTTATGCGATGTTGTTTCTTTTCTTCCACAATTTCTAGAAGGTTCTTGGATTGTTTATGTCCAATGGGTAAATTCCACTATTTTTTCATGCGATGTTGTTTCTTTTCTTCCACAATTTCTAGAAGGTTCTTGAATTGTTTATGTCCAATGAGTAAATTCCACTATTTCTTTTTTTATGCGATGTTGTTTCTTTTCTTCCTCAATTTCTAGACGGTTCTTGGATTGTTTATGTCCAATGAATAAATTCCTCTATTTCTGTTTTTTATGCGATGTTGTTTCTTTTCTTCCACAATTTCTAGAAGGTTCTTGGATTGTTTATGTCCAATGAGTAAATTCCACTATTTCTTTTTTTATGCGATGTTGTTTCTTTCCTTCCACAATTTCTAGAAAGTTCTTGGACTGTTTATGTACACTGAATAAATTCCACTATTTCTTTTTTTTATGCGATGTTGTTTTTTCCTTACACGACATCTAGATGGTTCTTGGATTGTTTATGCCCGATGAGTAATCTCCACTTTTTCTTCAATCTCAGTTCGTCTTTTTGTGTAAGATACTCATTGAAAGTGTGAATCTCTATGCCACAGAAGGATTCAGGACTTTTCAGAGGTGTGTACCCAAAGGATGGGTTATATAAAATATACACCTTTTATCTTGCACAAACTTTAAAAAGGGAAATCACTAGACTAAAATCGCACAGACCCAGCTCGAAAGAAAATGTCCAAAAGCCGAAACGTTTCTGAAAGAACAAAAATCACAAAATGATTAGAAACAAATGAAGTATTGTACAAGTTCATCTCTCCGCAGAATCAAAGAGGGAATCACAAAAAAATCACTAGATCTAATGTTAATGTTACTAGCCAAGGAAGACGTGTGTGTTTGATGATGCATTTTATTAATGGGGGAAGGATATCGTGAAAAAAAGAACCAGAGGGACGGTGAGAATCGAACCAACGACCGCGGGGTCTTTGAACTCAAATATTGCCACAGTATATAGGAGGCCAAAAGGATTAGGTGGTTTTGTTAATCCGCAAAACTGTTAAAGCCAGCTTTTTAAACAGGCTTTGGCCTTTTGTTTTGTTAATGTGATCCGCCGTCTTTTTTCCTATGAGAGAGAGACCGTTCTAATCACGATCGGCCATCATCTGCTGATTATTTAGGAGGGCCGCCTATTTTATCCTCTCCCAAAATAGTCAGGGGTCGTATTAAAAGGATCAAACGGGGTTATTACGAGCCGTGTAATTTGGTCGGATCGCCTCTTCGCCGTACCAGGCTATTTTCCCCGAGTGCGTAATCCTCCAATAAATGAATCATGGAAGGCTCTTCGATTCCGGTTCCCGGGGCTGAGATCTATTTTATTCTGGTTTAAAATCTTGAATACGCATGTTTGAAAAATAAAAGAACAAGGAAGAAAATGTTCCGCTGTGTGTTTTTAATAAATTTATTAGGTTTCGTGGTCCGCTTGACCAAATAAATTCTTTTCAATTGATTAAGGTTTTTGGTTGAGATAAAAAAGTCAGTGTCACAAGCGGGACTCGAACCCACGATCTTCGGCTAAATAGATTACATTTGAAAAATTGCAAAAAGGAGGGATAATTTAAAAGGTGCGATTGAGATAGGAAATTAGTGTCCGAGTGGATCCAGGTCACGATAGCTCAAGTGCTAGAGCAGCGGCGTATTTAGACAAAGGTCGTGGGTTCGAATCCCGCTCGTGACACTGACTTTTTTATCTCAACCCAAAATCTTAATTAATTGAAAATTATTGATAAAGTAGTTTGGTCGTTTCCGACCATTTTCGTGTGCTTATCCTCGCTCTCTTCGGCTTCTCACACTTTTACTGCCTGATCTGAGTGATTTCTGATTTAATCGACTTCAATTTATATGTTAGCGATAGGAAAACTTGTCACTGAAGATGGTGGGAAGAGGAAACGAGACTTCAAAATAATATTTTTATCTAGTTTCGTGGAACCTATAGTTCTGGTGAGCGTATCTTCGCCATTTTGATCTTTTAGAGTAGTTTCGGCTAATATACAAGAACCAGCTCCAGTGGTTTTCTCGGCTATAATGAAGAGGCACAAACACAAATAGATGCTGAAGGCAGAAAAATACGAAATATGTTTAAGAGGATAAAACCTTAGTCTATGGGAAAGGACCAAACTATATATTACGACACAGAACATGAATTCTTACAATAGGTCTTTCCAACTTCATTAGTTGTTAAGGTAATAAGCAGAGAGAAGCACAGATATAAACCCACTGCTCAAAGTAGGGGAAACGCCTGGTTAAAAGAAACCTCGTTTATGTTATGATACTGGTTATAAGGGTCATAAGTAGGGAGAGGCACAGCCAGAAAGACATCTTCCCTGCTGGGTCTCAATAATTTCTTTTTTAATCAACTTCAATTTATAAAAGTTGTGAAGCGGAAACCTACCACTGAAGATGGCGAGAAGACGAACCATCCACTATATGTATACAGGTTAGTCTCACCACAAAATCCTGGTCGGCATATCTTCACTACTTTAGTCAGACGAGTTTCGGCTTCTCATCTTCAAGAGGTATCTTTAATGGTTGTCGAGGATATAAACAGGGAGAAGCACTGGCACAAACCCACCGAGGAAGGCGCAAAATGCAGAATTAAGTTTAAGAAACCTAAACAGCGAATATGGGACTTTTATATTGGAAACTATAAGTTTATCACCACTCAGTCTCAAGAAGAGCTCTGAATAAACGTATTGACGAAAAGATTTCATTGATCATTAGCGATTAGTTTTACTAATTAAAATCTCATTTGTCTTCGCTACTTTAACCTGTTGGGCAAATTTTTGCTTCTTGCCTTCTTCAGTGCTGTATTTGAGATTTATTTTATAAAAAAGTCCTATTTATAAGTTTGTGAAAGTAAACCTAATATTGAAAGTGACGAGAAGTATAAACGAATGCACTATAGTTTTTATGTAATTTCGTCATTCCCAATAATTTTGGTATCATCTTGGTCAGACATACTTTTTTAAGGCTGAGTCTGTGTGATTTCTCTATTAGGAGAACTCATTTACCCAAAACGAGTCTACTACCATTTTAAGTAATTTTGTCGTTACCGATCATTTAATGATTTGTGCATCTGTATTTTTGTCTGTCACGAAATCCGGAAATATGCTAATGATTCCAAAACAGGATAAGTGAAACGTCTAAACTACAAATCCATCCTCAATAAAATAACATCTTAAGTAGGAATTGACCACAAGAGGTTAAACACTTTGAAGTCTTCAGAAGGAAATCTCCCTCTGGCCGACACAATGCATTCAAATACCTAAATCAGAACAGAATCACTAACCAAGGAAAAATACAAGACGAAACTAAAACAAAGAGCATAACAAAATATTCTTGTTTGGGTTATCGTTCGCATTTCGACTCACAATTTTCATTAGTTTTCTATGAAATAAGCAGACAACTCAACTGATGAAAGTTCATTTATGCTTGTGAGATCGAGCCAGCAAGTGTAAATAGACCAGGGTGATGGGAAACGACAAAAGTACACATTGATAGGTTTATAGCCTTAAACATTCAAGAAGAAATTTTACAACACGTGTTGTTCAGACAAGTCCTCAGAAAGAAATTTCCTTCTCATCGACGCAAAATTGACTCAAGTACCTGACAGCCACATTCGCTAGTTTAGTCTATTAGAAGCGTTTCGGCTTTTCGGCTTCTTCACTAATTGTCAAGGTTATAAGCAGTGAGAGGCACAGACACAAGCCTACCTCTGAAGGCGGCGAAATGCCGAAACAAATTTGAGGGATCAAAATAGCTAGTTTTATTTTTATTATATTTAGTTCGAGACTACGCAATTTGGTTCCATAACTCAACAGTTACCTAATAATTTAAAAAAAATGTATATTTGCTTCGGCAAATGTATATTTTGACTGGGCAGACTGTTCTGTCATACATAATTTATTCCTGGTAAACTTGTTGTTAACTTAGAATTTTAAATGGTTTCAAACTTGAACGAAGTTGTTTATGAAACGCTAATTATTCACATTTTTACAAATTATAAAAAATTCTATTTGTTTTTCTTCCAAGATATTTTTGTTAAATAGTTTTACTCCACTGTTTCTTCCAAGCCAAAATTTTAGTAGGTTAGAATTTCACGCACATAATTAGCAATGTATTTAATTTTTTTTGTATTTTTTGCTTTTTTTCAGTTTTCCAGTCTAAAAGCTGGGAAATCGGTGGAAACCGGTATTTTTTTCGCGCTGTGGTGTTAAAAAAATTACAAAAATATCTACCTACGGCTGGAGGTAAGTTTTGCCTTTTTTAATCCTTTAAAAGGTCATTTTTGATTATTGCAAAATAACTTAGAAGGGTTGAAAAACTATAACTTGGAACTCAAATTCAAAAGGTCCGGTTGAGATGGAAGTTAGTGTCCGAGTGGATCGAAGTCACGATAGCTCAAGTGGTAGAGTAGCGGCGTATTGAGCCGAAGGTCGTGGGTTCGAATCCCGCTCGTGACACTGACTTTTTTATCTCAACTAAAAACCTTAATTAACTTAAGGGGAATGTTCGAGTAGTAAGAAGCATTGACTATAGTTCTAAGGAAATTGAATTTGAATTGAAGTACTATATTCTTGAGATGGTGCTAGACGCAGTAAACGTACGATGAAACAACCCTCACCAAGGCTGGCAAAATCACTGCTGCCATTAGAGAGGGCTAAACTCAGAGGAGTGGTAGGACTATTAACCGGTCACTAGTATCTGAGAAAACAAAAACACAACATGGGCATATACAACCATGATCCCATCTGCAGATTATGTAATGAAGAAGAGGAAACAGCCACCCATATCATCTTCGATATGCGAAGCAATGGAGATTTAAAGTAATATACAACGTTTTTAACGTAAAAAAAAACTTAGAGAATCAAATTGTAGCAGCAATGACCTGATACTTCTAAGGAGAAGGATTGAGTCTACTGCACTGTACTAAGGAACTAGAAAGGTACAATAATCCAGAAGGCTGTGGTTCCTGGGAAGCACAAACCCCGCTTCTTAGTATCCTTATTACCATACCATCAATTAAACAGACAATATGGTCTGGAGTAATTCCAATGAGTATTTTCTCCACTCTTGTTTTTAATTTTGTATATATTTTCTTGCTCATTGTTACTTGTCACTACTCGAAGGTACAGCAAATTAAAAAAAAATATAAGAACAAAAATTACCAGGTGTTTTATTAATTGACGAATTGAACGTGTGTGGATTTGAATATGTTTGTTTCATAAGTATTTTTTTGTGCTTCGGAGTATTTCTTCCAAATATTTTAAATTAAAGAATAAAGTAAAATTACACAATCACATTGAATACAAATCATGGAATGAATGCGACGAACTGATAATGTTGAAAACACTCTTAATCTTGGCATTAATCCCTCTGGTTAATCTAACCAACTTGGCTTCCGAATATTTATTGACCTTCCATTTCGGTGGGAATATAATCGGTCATGGAAGTATTATCAACTATGATAGATTCGTCAGTGTGGCCGATTCTTTCCTTTACCGCAACGACAGCGGCGATTATCCAGTGGTCGATTTCTGGTGGAAGGGAATCGACGTTTATTTTAAGGCTGTTAAATCGACGACAATAGTTACCTTGAAAGTGCACCAACGATTCAAGACAAGGAAGGACCAACTTTCTGATAACAATATCGCTATTGGACTGCTCGCTTCGAACGTCAATTTCGTCTTCATGTCTCTGCCGTGGTCGAGTCCGGGAGATTTTGCAACTTACTGGAATAAATTGAAAGACGGGGATTGCACGTGCATAATTGATGGATTCAAGTACGCTATCGCCTTGGATAAGCAAGATACTTATAAGAGTGATACGAGTGGCATCGTCTACGGTTTAAGTAATAAGCAAGTGCATTCGAAGTTTAAGTTTGTGAAAGGAACCATTCTCTCCTGCACTGGCGGCAACACGTTCGGGATGCTTCAGCACGTTGAACTGGTATCATCTAACGTGAAACTGTATTTCATAATTTTTAAAAAATATTTGACGTTTATCCAGTCGTCCGTTGAAATTCCTGGAAAGGCTTCGTTAATTTGACTATCCACCGAGCGAAGATGGCTGTAATAAAATGTCATATTGTTCTCACGCTTGTAGAATTGTGTAAATTATTTACTGTGTGAGTAAAATGGAACATGTGAGTAATCAAAATCTGTTTTTTTTTTTTTTTCAATATTAGAGCATTAACCTTTTCTGAATGATGATTATTAGTATATGGAGCACTAACCAACCCCCAGAATTCGGTATTGGTCACATTTCTTTACTGTTTATTCGCAAAAAACAAAAACTAATAAATGAAATATACATTTAAACCAAAAATAATGAAAAAATGAATCGATTACTAGATTTTTTCAAACTGAGGTGAGGCACTGTTTTCCTCCTTTATTTAATTACCTACATGTATTTACGTGAAAAAATTCAATTGTCTGAAAAAAAAATTTGGAAAAAAAAAACATAAAGTAAGAATAACACCCGCTAATATGTTTATCCATCCAAAGATTTACTGGCATCGTGCGTGATACTTGAAAAGTCAACGAAATTGGAGTATGCCGGGTGATGAACTTTTATTTTGGCCCGATATATGTCGTCGTTGGTTAGGGTTATAAGGAGATAGAATCTGTATGCAAAATGCAAAATACAACGACCAGAAAGCAAGTTTAATAATTAACGAAAGAGAATGTTCTCATGACTATTAGAAAAAAGAGAAGCATTATCTCCGAAAAAGAAGGGTCAGTCGCTTAATAATAAAAAACGTCTTTCTCTTTTCTTTAAAACCACTATCCTTGCTGTATTTAACTGTGATAGGCGATACCTTCGGTGCCTCGCCCTGCTTATACCCCTGACTATCATAGGAATGTAAAAAAATAAACATTTAAATTATATTATTTAGGGATCCTAAGATTGCATACGGAATCGAAATAACTAAGGCCTGTAATAAGTTCATTGCTTGAGCACTGAAGATGTCGAGAAGCCGAAACACTCGTGAAAGATGGAACAACGACCGTAGGCAGAGCAAAATGATCGGACAAGAAAACACTAGTGATTTAATGTAAGCAATGAAAAACTTTTTTCAGAGAAATGTATCTATTTTTTGTTACCAATTAATAAATGTTTTTTTCGAAATGTTATCTCGTGGAAAATTAAATGCAGTTTGTAAACTAAAGGTCAGATTTGTATTTTAATGCCGCTAAAGTAGAGAAATTACTATTTTACATGAAAATATTTGATTTTAGACTAAATTCACAAAAATGTTAATATCTCAGGAAACAATCATGATAGAAACCTTGTTCTAGTGTCACTTTTATTTAGTGAATCTACCGTGACAGTATTGACATTTAACCCTGTAACATCCTGTATTCTTATTATTATGAACACCAAAAATTGGGTGTAGACAACAGAAACACACACGGAGAAAACTAAGGATAAAAAAATCAACGAAGTTAATTATGAAGAAATGCATCAGATTTGACGAGAACAAAAAGAACAAAGAAAGCAACAAAGTAGAATTCGGAAGAAAACTCAGAAAATTTCGTCGACCCCTAACTAAAGTGAAATAAGATTTAACCGAATTTGCCAAAACGAATTGGCGTTGAAAAACAAATGGCAAGAAATTTTGTGTAAAAATCTTTTCTCTAATGTAGGGCTGCTTTAACGTAGCAGTAATATAAAAATAGGATAAAAGCTTTATTTATGTATGTACAACAGCCACACCTCGATTACTGAACGTCCGGCAGGGCTTCGACCTTCAGTAGTCTTCAAGTTGACGTGGGCAGACCACATAAAACATCTGGTCTCAAAATCTACAAACATTACAATGCCCTTCGAAATAGAAATATTTTTATTGATCTTGGTTCTACCAAAGTCAGGCAATTCAAAACAAGGTTTAGAGTAAAATTACAAAGGCACAAATGTATATTTGTAACTTAAATTTGTACCATGACATATAATTTTCAACTTATGGAGATTTTTTCGTTTCTTAGAAAATTCTTAGAAAATGTTGCACAATATAATACACAAGTACAATATCCAATTTAAGTTTCAAGTTGTAATGGATCCCTAGAAAGTCCTCATCACATACCTGACTATGATTAATGATAATTTTAGTTTTAAGGACGACAAACTACATTGACCATGGGCCAGTGGTATTCTTTTGCTTTTAGTCGTGTAGAAATATGTGGTAATTAGTGACCGTTAGTCGATAATTATTCAGAAATCGTGAGATGCGGTCTGGTGTGTTGTAGGTTTCAGAAAAACATTTCCTTTATCGTGCCTACGTTTCGATCTTTATTAAGATCATCTTCAGGGCCTGGGATTTACAAACATTGTTTAAATTTAACAAAAACATTTGGAAAAAAAGTGAATTTATACAATGCAAAAAATTTTTTTTTTATATTCAATCAAAGTCGCGTTTTAATTCTACTAACTTCTTTTCCAATGTACGTAGCCAAGTAATATTGTTACATGATATGATGGTAACAGATTCTGTTGCTTTATACTAGTCTAGTATCTAGTGCTAGTCTTTCAGTAACTCAGCTCTCGTCAACTGTGGATTAACAAATAACAAACCCAAATTCAAAGAATCGTCTTAGTCTGGTTAGCATTTACACTAACGTAGAGTACAATATATTCATCTGGGTAATTATGGATAAACCTCTGCATTCACGCTAATAAACTGCATTCACTCAACACTGGGGTTGATATTCCTCGGGGTGATTGAAGATAAGCCTCTGCATTCACGCTAATAAATTGCATTCCCTCTACTCCAGAGAAGTCGATATCCCCCGGAGTAATTGAGGATAAGCATCTGTATTCACGCTAATAAATTGCATTCACTCTACGCTAGAGTATTTGATATTCCTCGAGATAATTGAGGAAAAGCCTCTGTATTCACGCTAATAAATTGCATTCGTTCACTCAACCTCAGAGTAGTCGATATTATTCGGGGTGATTGAGGATAAGCCTCGCTATTCACGCTAATATATTACATTCATCCATATTAATTCACTCTACCAAAAAATACGATGTTCTTCAACAAAGTGTTTGAGGATGAGCCTCTGCAATCACAATAATAAATTACAATCTTAAATTTCTCCAAGCTCAGGAGAAGCTGATATTCCTCGAGCTAATTGAAGTTAAGCTCTACCATTCACGCAAATAAATACATTAGTTCCAATAAATAACACTTATTACGTACATAAAGCTATAAAATCAATGAAAAATATTTATGGCCATGAGATATTAG